AAAAAAAAAATTTGTCCCGACGATCTATCTTCTATACGCAAATGGCTACCATATTGAAAAATATACTATTTTTGTATGATAATTATGGGTTTTGTATTTTATTTTAATAGAAGTTGATGTTGCTTTTGCAATTATCCATCAATTTTTTAAAATTAAACACTATCTACAGATTTTCATCGAAGCGTTTCTTATGATAGTGATTTTAATCACTGTCAGATTAAATCTATACTGGACCCAACTATGCAATGTCTCCACTATGCCGCGACCCCACTGTCCTACCGTTTTTTTTTAGATAAATTAAATGAGTATTAGTACACAATTTTTGAAATAATAATTGAATTTTATTTGAAAAACACCTAACACAATTAAAAAGTTGCATAGTTATTATTAGCACATAGATGTATTACAGTAATTTTCAATTTATTAGAACAAAACTTTAATCTCTCAGTCAATAACGATCCAGTGAAAGTTTAAAGTTTTAAAGTTCTATAAACCCAAAAAACACATCTTAGTAAATATAATACTTTCTTATCATTGAATCAAAACTAAAATTCTCAAATTGTTCAAAAATCTCATATAATCATTTTAGAATAGATCTTGTGGCCAAAATAGTTAATTAATCACCCATATACATATTTTTTTTTTTTAGATAAATTAAGTGAGTACTAGTTTAGAATTTTTTAAATAATAATACAAATTTATATTCGTAACTGATCGGTTGGATCAATTATTGCCGATTGATTGGCAATAATCGGCTCATACCATTTAGCTACAGTAGATCTTTATATATACCTTTACTTACATGAAAGTTCTGGTCTGCATTTACATATCTTTGTTAATTATTCATTTTGTTAATGCTTGATTGTATTTTGTTTACCCAATTTATTAAAAAACGTTTTAATAATCATGTATATGTATTTATTAGGATGTGCTTTCTGTCCCTATACGATTCGACCTGGGTTTAGGTACTATTTTCACACTAAATGTTGCGATGGAAGAATATGTGATCTTTGTTACGAACTTCTAAAAAAGCATAAACTTTCAAGATCATGTAAAAATTGTAAAAAAAAAGGAAGTAATAATTTTTGAACAATATATTTTTTTTTATAAGATGACAATATTTATAGATGAATTGCATTTTATATGCGCTCATAATAGGCCTGTATCTACTTGATATTTAATTATGATTACATCTATATTAAATTTTTATAATGAATGTGCATTGCTAAGTGTAGCATTTATAAGTATAGTCAAAACTATCTATTTAATATAACTTTTGTAAAACTTACTTTAGAAATGACTAAAGTTATACATTTATTTAAAGTTAGAATAATTAAAAAAGTATATCTGAAGAAAATATTCAATAAATATAAAAATTCAGATGTATAATTAGTACAGTAATAATTGTATAATATACGGACGCTACTATGTCCAATGAGGTTATAAACAAGATATTTTAACTTTTATTTAAACGTAAATTGATGAATTAATAATTAACATTCAAAGTGTAATACTTAAAACAAATGTTTTCATATGCAATGGAAGTAAAACTCATGTACTCGTTTTTTACATAGAAGAAATATATTGAAATAAATAATATGTTTTTTCAATACTTCAGAAAAAATATTTCATAACCCAAAAATATTTATTTTGTAATGATTACTGAATAATGGTGGTATTAATTTCTATATTTATAGTTGTTTCAGTATATAAAGAACCTGTAGAAGTTCCATGTGTAATTTGCAATGAAAATAAACCAAACCGCAATATTTCTTCAAAATGCCTTCATTATTATTGTAAAAAATGTACAAGAGAAAAAATCTTAGCTAACGAATGGTGTACACTATGTGCGGAATATTTGGATACTTCAATTTTGATAAGTTGCTTAAATTAATAAGTTTTATTTCATTAATGTAAATTTGCTTATTAATTCTAAAAATGTGTCTTAAATGTTTTGAAAATATATTTCTAAAATATTATCTTAATATGATTTTGATAATTCATAAAACAATGCATTACTGTAAATTTTTTTTTTTGTACATACTAAAAATCTTTAAAATAAATATCCAAGTTAAATTCTTCTATTTATATATATATAATAAATTTTGAACCGGTATGTAAGACGTTATTATCACACATAGACTGAAAGCAATTTATTTTTATCATCACGCATTCACCATGTGCTACACCTACGACCAAGGTATAAAAATACGTATAACTCTTAAACAATTTGTTCAAAAGTAGTTATCGACTAGTTATTTCCTTAAATATACCATTTTCTAATTGTCTTAGAATATTTTGTAAACGTATAAACATGAAAATTACTCAGTAATTTCTAATGTTGGAATTTGTTTGAATTTTATTCATTACAATGTTGAAGGGAAAAAAAATTATTTAACTACATACTATTGTAGTGTTTTTTGAATCAAACAATATTTTCTTTTACAAAAATTTAAAATGTGCAATAGTTTCATAGAAAATGAGTGCCTTATACTTAATGAATCATTTTCTATATATAAAGGTGATTAACGCTAGACACTCAATTTCTCTTAAAATAATAATTTTTTGTGAGAATTTTTTTTTTGGCTATTGTTAGTTACAAATGTAGTTCTATTTACTATTATTAAATATTTTTATAATCATCCCTTACGCGTTGTAAGAATGTACCTCACGGTAGTTTCAAGACGTCCAACATTATGAAGGCCGTGGAAAAAAAACAAAAAGGTTATAAGAGTGTCAACTTTATTTTTTAATGGCAATACACATATGCCACTAGTTTATAAATTATAAAATTATATTATTAAAAAATGATTGGTTGACAACAGCTTTTAATAACTATTTCAAAAGTTATTAACATTTAAATATAATGAGTGGTAAGAAATGATTTTTATTGCAGAAATTTTCGACCTCACTACTCCTTTATTTAATTCCTTGATCATTTATTACAATGAAAATAAAAAAAAAAAAGTGATTTTAACGAAATTTTTAATTTTTTTCATAAATTTCCCGTTAATAGTAATTAAATAAATTTCTGATCACTTATCAATCTAAAAAATACAATTTTTTTAACTCTCTATTTAATGATATCAATTTTAAACTTGCAAGTTGAACTAAAAAAAAGGTTAAAAATTCAACATTTTTAATTATAAAATTTCATAAAAATTAATTTCAAGGCATCAAAAAAGAGTTTAAACGTTACATTTTGAATCGAAATTTTGCACGGATCATTTTTACACATATTAAATATCAAAATTAATTTTTGTATTTAAATACTCGTTTTTCAAAGTAGTAATAATCTCAAAAAAGAGATTATGGAAAAAATCTAATTGCAGAATTAAAATCAGCGCAAAAATTTGGTTTAGCAAAGTATATTTTTGTCTATGAAGAATAAAAAATGTATCATTTAAGTAATATGATTTTTTAGAGTAATTCAGATAAAGTCGAATTCTATGGCAGTATAGAATTAATATTTATTTTTAAAAATACATACTTTAAATAAATTATATTTTATTAAAAAAAAATTGTGAATTTTTTTACTTTGACGATTAATTTCTCATAGAAGACAGTCGCCGGGACAATTTTGTTTATCTTATAGTACATTACAAAAACTTAAATTAAATGTAAGTTTAATTAACGCAGTATTCCGGAACATATCCAAAAATTGTGTAAAAAATAAATAATTTTAAGGGTTTTTTCAAACCCTTCCTGTACTTATGTTTTTCATTGTCATGAATTTCAGTCCATTTCATAAAAAGTACTCTATTAAATTTTTATTTGGATCAATGCCTATAAAAATAGTTTTGAGCAATCTTAAAATGCAGAAAATATATTTGAAAATGCTGTTTTTTACTAAAGAGTAATTTCGAAATATTTGTATAAATACCTAAAATTAAGAGTTTTTTTTCATTATTTTGTTAATATATAAGTTCAACTAGATTAAAATTGAGTTCTTTTGACATATTCATTATCAATCTAGTGAGAGCTGAGAATTTTTATGCACAGACATAAAAAAATAAATTTGAGCCTAATACAATAAAAATTGTGTTTTTTTTTTATTTCACATACTAAAATAGTAATAGAACAAAACAACAATATACAGTTTTGTACAATAATCCACAATTAAAAATATTTACCATGTTACTCAATTTTTAAAAGTGTATCATTATCTCAATTTTAAGACAGACCTAGTTTCTTTTTAAATGTATTTTAAAATAAGATCAGACCGATAAACATTTTAAAGGACCGTAAAAAGATGGACCAGTAATTTTTAACTTCGGACCATCTAGAACCGGACTTGTTTATTATTTGAAGTATAAGACCGGATCGGACTAAACCGTAGTCTAGACCGATTCAGTCCAGATAGATTCAAACCGAAACATGCAGAGCTTTAGTCATTATAAATAAATTTCTTTAATTTTTCTTTAAATTTGAATATTATTTTTCAGTAGAAAAAACCACACATAAATGATACTGAAATTTAGATTATTTATTAATAAATAAATTTAGAAACATGTGTTGTAAGATTTTTGATAAATAATACTTCATAAAAACTACTCGCATAAATATTTTTAATGTTCCGAGATAATTTCAGCACTTTTAAAACCGTATATTTTATAAAAAGTTATTTTAAATAAACTACAGTAACAAAACACAGAAACAAGGCTAGGATATAATTTTTTATATGATAAATAAATTTGTTATGAAGAGGAAGTTATAAAAAACTACCCTCCTACAAAAAAAAATATTTAACCACCTTACACTTGATATTTAGACTGTGGATTATTTAAAATATTTGATATACTTTTTAAAAATATTTATATTTTTATTTAAATACTTTTTAAAAATAATGTATTGGAAATACAGATTTTAAGTATTCTTAACACGTTTGTATATAACAGTGGTTAACAACACTGTCGTCAAAAATGCTTTGATGCAAACCTGTTAAATTTCACAATAATTTTTATTTAGAACACAAAATTCGCATTGAACCGTTTTTATGATAGTGATGTTAATCACTGTCGTATATCATCTATACTGTATTTGTACTTGACGTAAATTTGACGCTACTCCACAGTGCAAGGAGTGTAAATTGTCTTTCATGTAAACAAATTATGGCTCTAAAAAACAGGTTTTCCAAACCTTATTAAACACCCTATATGTAAACAAAAAAAATTTTAAATTATTTTTATTCTACGAATAATTGAGTAGATTATGGCAAAAAAATAACACTGTTTATGGGAGAACTAATTTTATATAATAATTTAATAATTCTTTAATTGGTTAGTATCTATTATAAAAGAACTTATTTTATCGATTAATTGGATTTATTTTATATTAAATTCAAAAGCCCAAACGTCATTTAGGTAATAGACCTAAAAGACCTTAAGCATGTTATTAAATTCAAAATGTGTTTCGTCTGATATCATCAAATCTATATCTGTATTTGTCGTAATTGTGCCGCGACTTCACTAGGTAAGGTGTGCAAATTGCTTATCTTGTAAATAAAAACTTTATTATTTTTAGTGTAATCAATACAATTAAATACATTTATAAAAACATGTTTTGCTAATTTCTTAACAGATTGTAGGCCATATAAACAACTAGTATAAATATTTTCTCATTACTTAACTCATTGAAGCATTAAATATGCTGACAAATTTTATAAAACTTATCTTAAATAATCTACTCTCATAAATATATTTTCAGCTAATAAAAATTTTGAAAACTCTTTACAAATTATATGCTTGAAGAGAATGGTAAGTATTTTAATTTAAAATCTACAGAGCGATTCATTAAGATTAAGATTCATTTTCTTAGAAGTTAGGCCGTCGAGACAATTTTTTTTTTTTAATTTATAATAAGTAACATGAAATTTAATTTAACATAAGTTCAAACGACGCAGTATTTCCAGAACATTTTCAAAAGTTAAGTTGACAATGTTCTACATTTTATACGTATGTTTCAAGTTTTTAATCACCCTTGTATAAGGGAAAATTGTCCGATTAAAAAATAAAAATATGTCGGATAAGGTGTATATAAAATATTTAGAAATAAAAATTTTTGTTGATCCATATATTTATCAAAAACTTATAGCAATTTAAAGTTTAAAATATAATTTTTGAAAGTGTTCCGAAAATACTGACACTTATATATATATATATCTTAAATTAAATCTTATGTAATATACTTTAATATTAAAAAAAAAATTTCGGACTTTATTTTGTCTTCATGGTGAAAATAGCTACCGTTTCAAAAATATGCTATCTTTGTGTTAAAATTCTTGGTTTTGAATTTTATGTTATTATAAGAGGATTACATTGATTTTCATAAATATTATATCAATCTAATTGATATAGTATAAAAAGCAACTATGCCACGACCCCACCGTGCCGCCACGCCACTGTGCTGGGTTTTTATATTTATAGTTCGTATCATATGCTTTAATTTAACATATATTTGGAGCTCGGAGTATTTCCAGAACAATTTTAAAAGCTAAGTTGAAAAAAATGACTTTGGTAAAAAAGTTGCTATTTTGGATCCGCGCCTGTGGCCAGGTAAAGGGTCAGGTATTAAAAAAATTTATATAAAATAAAAAGAAAATACCTTTGGTTTCTATAAAAAAAATTATTTTGATTCGTTCATTTTTGAAAAAGCTGTGGGAATTTTAAGAAAAAAAATTTCAAAATTTACCGATTCTAAAAATTGTTATTTTTTTAGAGATATCCCCCATTTACGGGGAATGATGGAAATTTTTTCAATTTTTGAGGGTAATGTCTTCAAATAAATATGATTTGTGATTTTTTAACGACGAGGGGATGAGGGAAATTTTTTTTAGGGTCACTGTTTTCAACTAGATATGATTTGTTAATTATCGTTGAACGAAATCAGTTCAGTGATAGCTGAAAAAAAGTAGCGATAATCATAAATAAAAAAAAAAAACAGACCATGGTAAAATTAATATCTTCTCAACTTTGCATCAAAGCTAAAAATTCAAACAATCTTGTTCTTATAATTTTTTTTATTTTAAGAACCATTCTTCTATTATTTCATTATTAAGACAATCAAGGTTTGACATTTTTCTATTGATAATTTGTTGTATAGTTACAGTACTTGTTAATTGTTACAGATAATATCGATATTATTCATTAAACCAAAATATTGTATAATTAATTAATTAATTAACTTATATTGATGTATTCAACTCAAGTTTACTATCATTGTTCATTGTTGAAAGACGGAGTGTAAAAATTTTATTGATAACTACTATTAAAATAATTTATAAGGAAAATATTATTTGATTAAAAAATCTCTACAGTAATATTTAGATAAATAATTTTTGTTTTCATACCTTTAGGGATAAAATGCCTAAACTTTAATTAACTTTAATCAAAACCTCTATTTTTAGGCCATAGGATAAAAAAAGTTATAAGAACAAATTTTTTTTTATATTATATCATCAAAATAAAACTATGGTTTTTATTAAACAAAATTAATTTTAGCTTTTTATTCCTGAAGGAATTAAAAAACATTGTATTCAACTACATATTACTGCATGTAATTTTTTGAATTAAACAATATCTTCCTTTACGAAAATTAACAATTTTCAATAGTTTCCAAGAAAATGAGTGTCTTATCCTTATAACATAGAATGAATCATTCTATGTTTTCAAACTTAAATTTATGTATTAATTATTTTTTAGAATTCACATTTTATTAAATATATGACTTTGTACTTCATTCTATCAAATGGTAATATTCACATTATATTACAATAAAATTTATTATATTTATTTAATTACATAATTTAAGATTTAGCTGTCACTATTTACATAGAATAATCTTTTTACCTTAATTTTATAAAACAAAATTTACTTGTAAGAAAATGTTAACAATTATCTAGTATCAAAAAATCAATTTATATCATTTAAGTGGTACTAGTAAAGAGTAGAATTTTAAAGATTTGTGTTAACCTGTATATATCTGGTTTGATTGTAAAAATAAAGAATACCATTCTTTTTTTTTTAAAGAAAATGTATAGATCCAATACAGCCCATCCTGTCAAAAAAAGAGACGGTACAAAGAACTCTCAAATATTGAAAAATAAATGCTATACCAATATACTGGTGATTTTAATCCAATGAATTTAAACTTATAACTTCCGGTACTTGGTCCGTGTCAAGTAACACACGTGATTTAAAACTGAAAACCGTTAAAGAAGTAGCATCTAAACTCTACCTTAGATTCCATCCATTGTAGTTTCCTATCATCCACAATTCTCTAATCTCTAATCTCTAATCTATCCCCCAAAAAACTTCTGAATAGCCCAAGTTGTAGAGTAAAAAGGTGTTTGTGCAAATATTAAATTATATATATACATTTAAAAGTCAAATGATGGTAAATGAAAACCTGTAATAATATACCCGCACATAGGACGGGATTGGACTCAATTGTTTCTTAGTAACAATTACAGTTACACTCATTTAATAGTGGAATAGAAACAGAGTCCCAGCCACCTTGTATATGAGATAAGATGTTTTTCTTAAATTTAAAAAAATGATTAATGTTTGCAAATTTTTTATGAAAGTATTTTTAAATATATTAGTCGGTTTCCACTTTTAAATATTTTTAAACTTAATTTTTTTTAATTACTCGGTGGACTACTTATCCTAAAGAAAAACCATTCTTTAGGCACATTCTTAAAAACAAATTTTATGGGTGAATAATATTTTTAGGAATATTACTCATTGAGTACCAGCATTTTAATAAATGGAACAGGTATGGAACGCGGGTGAAGTATAAGTACACCATTACAAGCTGCAACCACCTTCATTACATACCTACTCAATGTATTTAAATGTTTGTATCTCCATATAAAGTATTCCATATAAATTTACAATAAAATAAATGACGATTATTTGCTACGAAAGTGATGGTATTAATAAGAAACGAATTAACTATTGCTTTTTAGCATTGAGTTCTTTGATTACTGAATTAGAACTTTAAATAACGCGTTAAATTACTTAATTAAACAAACGAATAAAAAACGTGTGTTCATAAATTAAAAAAGAAAAAAGATGAAAATTATTCCATATAAATATACATTATAATGAAAGATGATTATTTTCAATGAACTTGAGGGTATTGATAAGAAAAAATAAAATATTGTTTTTTTTAGCATTGGGTTCTTCGATTATCAGTGAGTATCAGAAATAAAATAAAATGATCAACCAAGACCAATACCTATATTGTTATGTATAATCGTGAAAGCATAATTTTTAATCTTTAACTACTTTTATTTAATCATTTATTTATATAAACTATGAATGTATGTTAAAAATATATATTTAAGTGTATATGTTTGTTTTAAATCGCACTTATACATTTTTTGCAAAAATCATATAATTTTGATATATTTCAGCGTTTTAATTTTAGTGTGAATAAACAAATTATTTTCTTTATAGCAATATCTAAAGAAAAATATAATGAATAAAAAGTATTTTAAATTTTAGATAATGATCAACATAGGGATTTTTAAATAAAAATAAAAATAAAAAAATTGTTTTCGTTCTTTTTATATGAATTTCTATACAAATTGTAAGAATTGAATGAACGAACAGATTTTTCTGTGAAATAAAAATAATATTGATAATTTTGGATACTTGTTTTTTTATCCATTGTACTATTTAAGAGTGCCTATTTTATTTTTACAAATGTCAACATACATAATTAACTGGCTTTATACTTTATACTTTATACAAATAATGTTTAAATTGTTTTTATTCTGTAATTAAATAATTAAGTGAGTTATGATAAAAAAATCACCCTATATAGACCTATAAAGATTGTAGACCTATGTCTACAATCAAAATAAAAAAATAGTTATTATTAATTAAAATTATTTGTTATAGAATCAGAAAATAATAACAGTAAGTGCATTAATTATTAAGATCAAGTAAATAAAATTATGTATATTTTATGTTAGGTAATTATTCCTAACGTCAAATTATAAGAGTAACTCTTACAAAATAAAATAAGTAAATGTATTAAACTCAGATTTTTCCAACCATAAATTCTTTTATTATTTGTTTAATACTTTTGGAAAATTTCATGAAAATTACGGAAATTTTGGAGAAATTTCTGAAAAACATGAACATTTTTATTGTTATTATATTCTTCCGTTAATTACCTCCATAATTCAGTTTTAACTTATAACTCCATATTATAACGTTATTAGAGTAATAGGTAAACATAAATAGTTATTTATAAAAGATAAAATAATTATTTAAGACTTAACTTAACGTAAAAGATATCTTGATAAATTTACCTAAATGCTATTATTTATATATTAACTGGTTAAATGATAAAACGGTTAAAGTAGCTGCAATAAATAATGAAATGGTCGGTATACTTAGCTCAGTAATATTAATAAAATTTAAAGTATATCCCTTATATTTTGAATTACAATTTTAGAGTGATTAAAATCAAATATTGACTTGGTTGTAGTTTACAAAATGTATTATTAGACATTTTTTATCAAATAATTCATTAATATATCACTGTTTCTATGGCAAAACTGAGTAACTAATTTTTTTTTAATTATTCGGAATGAAAAAAAATACAATGGAAAGGTAATAATGGAAATAAAATAATAGAAATTTTGTAGATTTCTTATTCCGTAAACGCTTAAAATATATCTCAATAATTAAATACCCTTTAATAGTGCTTTAAATTTTTCAATTGGAGAAGATCTTCCTAAAAGATATTCTTTTTTTGTAATTTTTACTTTAAATGAATATTTAGCTTAATTTTCATTAGTGTCTTTTAAGTATTTCGTCATGAGAATAATTAATACACACCTTAAATTTTACTTGAAGTACCTAAGCTAAAAATTTTGCAAAGATAAAATTATTTTTTAATATGTTAGAGCGACTGTATCAGGAAATTTTCAAGAGGGTAGTAAGTGGTTGTACCTTTTACTCATTTATATTAAATCGTTTAAATTAGGAATATTTCAGTATAAATTAATGCTACCAAAAAATTAAATAAAAAGTTCATACAATTTTGAAAAAAAACTTAATTTTATCTCCCAAAAATGTTTATTTTTGAAATGGCCCTCGTTTATATTTTTTAATTTTGATCGTACCTTGTACTAATTAAAATTTTAAATACAAATTAAATTTTTTGAAAAACACTTTTTTCAAAGGAATAAATTTAGGAACATAAGCAGTAGCGCCGATCCAATGATTGAGGGAATGAAAAATCTTGTTTATTATTTATATTAAATATTTTTATAGAAGTTTTATGGGGGCAAAAATTGCATAGTGACTTTTAAAATTTATAAAAACCTACACAGGAGATATGCCTCATTCCCCAGAGCTTTTTTACATCATTACTATAACAAGATTATTATCAAAATTATTATGGAATATTCGATATGCATAAATGGCTTTTATTTCATTAATGATATTTCAAATATTTGTTAGACAGAGTATATAGAGTACGAGATTGACAAAGGAGAACACGAGGTTGGTGAGATGAGAAGATCAGTGACAATAGGTGAGGACGTGATTGGAGAGGTGGAAAGTTTTAAGTATTTAGGTCAGTTGTGCAAAAGAGCGAAGGTATTGACGAGAATGTAAGACACAGGATTAAATGTGGGTGGTTGAAGTGGAAAGAAGTGTCTGACGTCTTATGCGATAAAAAAATTTCAATGAAGCTGAAAGGTAAATTCTAAAAGACTGTAGTGAGGTCAGCTATGATGTATGGTTCAAAGTGTTGGGCAGTTGATAAGAAAGTAGAGAAGAGAATGAGTGTAGCAGAGATGTGAATGCTTAGATGGATGAGTGGTGACTAGAGAAGATAGGATAAGAAACGAGCATAAAAGAGGAAGTAAAGGTGTTGCGTCAATCGTGGATAAGATGACAGAAAATAGACTTAGATGATTTGGTCATTTTATGAGGAGAGAAGAATCAGAAACTGTAAGAATAGTTATAGAAAGAATGTTGAAGTAAGATGAGATAGAGAAAGACCAAAAAAGAGATAGATTGGTTTTTTTAATTAAACACTATCTACAGATTTTCATCGAAGCGTTTTTTATGATAGTGATTTTAATCACTGTCAGATATCATCTATACTGGACCCAACTATGCTACGACCCCACTGTGCCGCCACTCCACTGTGCTGGGTTTTTTTTAATATCAAAATAATAATAATAAATTCAATAAAATAAAAAACAGTCTTACTTTAAGCGCTTAAATAACATTTAACATTTACATTGTTTAGAATTTAGTAAAAAAACATGATGGTTAATATATCATTTATTAAATCTAATACGTGGAAGTTATATGGGATTTGTTAAATAATATTTTTTTTTACTAACATGTACAAAATATAAGTTGATTTCTTCTTTGAAACATAAGAAATATTAAGTTATTGTAAAAAACGGTAGCACAGTGGGGTCGAGGCAAAGTGTGGACGAGGCATAGATGGGACAAGTATAGATGATATCTGACAGTGATTAAAATCACTATCATAAGAAACGCTTCGATGCAAATCTGTAGATAGTGTTTCCTTTAGAGAAATTGGTGAAATATTTTAAAAGCAACATGAACTCTTATTTCTTTAATTATATCCTGATTAGTAGTTCTTTGATTTTAAAATATAATATATGAATAANACTATCAAATTTATCTTTATAATGGACTAACATGAAAAACTTAATGTCTCTTTTCATAAGATAATACG